AATTCGTTTGCCTTTTAGAAGAAGGTTTAAGATTATTTGTGGGCCCTGGTGGAAGCACTTCTTTTGGAAGCCACCATCTACCTAACAGGTATGTAGCCTGAACTAATCCATAGGCAATACTAAATAAAAATGCACTTATACAGCAATTATCCTGTATCTACATTCTTGACCTTTGTATCTTTCTATTCTGTATCATTTAAAAGCACTAAAAGAGCTAGATTGTCAGTTTTTAAAATAGGACATATAGATTAGTTCCAAAACAGAACTGATGTGTCAGTCATAATTGTAACTTTCAGAGTTTCTGAAGAGTCTCAGTTCCAGGGTTTTCAGATAAAAGCAATGTTTCAGTATGGACACAGGAAACAGACACCAGTTTCAAATGGGAGCTCTACAGCCTTATTATGTTACTCTGGAGTGGGAAGAAAATTTTAAGTGTTTTACACATCTGCCTTTACAGTATCAAACTGTTACATCTTCCTGATAACAAGCCTTATTTTCTTCAGTTTAGTTTTTCTCACAAATCCTGTTTCCATTTGCTACATTATTTGTTTCAATGGTTTGTTCATCTTTCAACTATTTGCAGCCCTAAAGTGTTTCTTTTGATAATCTTCTTCAGATTATCTTGTCACTTAGAATCAGACTTTTTTTTCTTCTCTAAACCTGCTCAAAATACCCTGATACATGACTTGACCTGAATGTGTTATTCTTCAGATGAGAAAGCATGAAAACTAGGCAAGAATAATACTCTAATGCTCTAATGTGTTTCTGCAGTCCTATGTAACTCAATGTTTTTAGCTGAAGAAAACAGAACAGCCTCATTGCAGTACTTCAGCAATTAGTATGAACTTGGGTATAAAGGCAGTTGATAATATATTGAAAGTCATAAGATAACTGCATTTTATATGTGTAAGTAATACTATGATTAAAAGATAATTCCTTGACTCATCTGCAAACTGGGCACACCAATATCTCTCTTGGATCACATGAATGGGTACAGAACACACTCCTGTAGCACACAGAGATCTGTCCTAATGCAGCTGCTAAAATAGTCCAGGCACAAGACTGTACTAAGGCAGAGCTTGCTGTACTAATTTTTTACATAGTACTGCAATTTGTTGTGGAAAACCACCCACTGTGAGCAGTCATGTGGGAGGTGAGAGACTTTTGTTTACAATTCAGAGTGAACAAAAGACTGAAGATGTTCTTCTTGTACCTTAATGTGACAATCAGTTTCTGGGTTTTTTAGGCAGATAGATCTATTTATGTATAAATGTATATAAAGAATATAAGCTGTATATAATACAGCTATGGGGATGGGTACCCTAAATATGACATTTAAGAAATTCTAGTGAAGTCCACCAGTAACTTCTGTTCAGTAACATTACTTTTTGCTAATTTTGACTGTAGTACAACAAAATCTCTTTAATGCATTAAAGTGTAGGTGACTCGTTGGCATAATAATGATGAATGTTTTCTATCCTTCACATTTAGCTAGTTTGATATTTGCTGTTTGGTTGGAGAGGTTTTGTTGGAGTTCTTTTGGGCGGGCTGTTGTTTGGGTTGTTTAAACAATGCACTTGCTGATATGTGATACTTGCTACTTAGCTTTCATTTAAATTGACATTGAACTAACTTTTTTCAAACTTTCAGAGTAGGATCTGGAGCATATGAGCAGGTGGTAATAAAACGCTAAACTGGAATGTCAAATGAGGAAAACTTGGAGCTCTGATGTTGATACTTCTGGTACTGTTTGCTGTAAGAGCTGAGAAAGACAAAATGAACTCAATGTGATCTTTTTCTGAAAAGTAGTGGAATGCCTCTTGCTCATAGAGCATCATCTGTGGTAGGAAGGCAATGTTTAGCTGTGTACCTTGTGAGAGCACTTGGACCATTTTTGTAAGCTCTGTCTGATGTTAGTGGAATTACTTAATTTCTGTGAAACATCTGTGGAAGCATGTCCCATTTCAATATTTTATATGTGAGATCACTTGTGATGATGGACTTTGTTTGTAATGTTGTTTCTAAAGAAACTTCTGAAAGTTGGTCTTAAAAGAACCAGAAAAAAGTAATTACCGAATTTTATCCTACATGCTATTTTATTTTTACAAAAGCTAATCACTCCTCTCAAGTCAGCTTTTATCAGGTCAAAGTTACGGCTTCCAGAAAAACAGGCCACCTATAGCATAACTAAAAGCGTAAGAGTACTGAGTAGAACTTCATTGTAACGTTCAATAGAAGAAATGAACACCATGTACATTTGAAACAAACCCCCAAAACTAAATAGATCTAAACCAGCCACTGATCAGTTATGTTAACTGTAAATTAACATTAACAAGGATACAGGTTTAAATATATCAAATGTGGCTTTTTTTTTGTTCAAGTGATGAAACAAGTGGGATTCCACACCAAAACACTAAGGCACAGTAGTGTTTTCTCAAGAAAGCTGCCTTGATTGTTAAATCTGGAGTTCAGCAGCTGCTCCCGCAGAAACTCACTAAGATAATGCATGAACATTGAGATTCAATGGGATGGTACTGTTTACAAACCAAGTCAGTAGTTTACCATTTAATTTTTTAAATTGTAGTTTAATCCTTCACAGTCAGTGCTTTGCTTCTGTTTTGAATGTGCCTTGCGGGATTGGGGGTGTACAGGGAGATTAAACCATTTACTAAGGAATTTAAGCTTTAAAACTCGGTAAACATCTATACTATTATTAATATAACTTGTTGAGAGAAGCACTTTATTGTAGACATACTCTGCACACTGAAAAAGTCTTAGTGCGCAACAGCTCTGTTGAACACTTCTTTTGCTATCTGTCCACTGTTACATTAGGTCAATGTACTGTATTTAAATTTGCACAAGTAGTGATTTGCCTGACAGGCAAGAAAGAGCTCTTTAAATTTTCACTGAAAATATGAAAGAATCCATTTTTAAAGGGATGTGTTGGGTAACAAATAATGGTAATTGTAAACCACAAATTACTTAAATGTTTTACATTTAGTTACAGCCTGGAATAAATAAAAATAGTGCGGCCACTTTTTTGAAAGCTCAGACTTCAAATTTTGCTCAGAGTGATGTTTGACACCTTATGGATGTAAAAGTAGGCCATATTTAAAAGGTTAAATTAGGAAAAGCAGACTTTGTTTTCCAGAAATCCATAGTAGAATTATTAAATTTTTATTTGTATTTTTAAGGAAATTTCAGCTCTCAAAGCTAGAATGCTTCTATTGAATATGATGAATATGAGCTATTTCTCAGTTTAGGTACTTGCATACTTTTATTTCTACTGTTGATTATAATTTCTTTAGAGTGTCTAATTAGGTAAAAGAATTAATACAAAGATTCTATTTTTAGCTGCTCTTACTAGAAGTGTGGTATTATCAGTTTCTGTTCTCCACAGGAATTTTACACAGAAACTACTCAACTGCTAGTAACAACTCTCTATCAGAACATTATAGTCTTCTTTCCTGTTATATAACTAATTCATACCAAAAAATCCCACTGCAAGCAAAAGATTTCTGATAATCTGAATACATTCTTTGCTTTCAGTACTCCTTGATACTGCTATACTTGTTGACAAATCTATTATAACTAGTAGTAGTTAAATGGTAGTTTACTTACATCTACTAGGAAAACAACAACAAACTACAAAACAGACTTTTAAAAAACACTGTACAGCTACTTATGTAATTCTCAAGGGAATTTCCATAGCCCATTGCATTTTATGTTAACCAGCATAGCTAATGGTCATCTGTTAGATAATCTGTTTACTAGAAACAGTATTTTCTTGCCTGAGCAGATCTTTTAAATAATAGGGAAGTTGACATAGAAATACAGCTTTTCATAAAACTGTATCTTAGTAATTTATTCTTCAGACTTGACTTACAACTCTTTGTGAAGTGATAATCTAATTGTGCATCATGTAAGTGAAAAATAACCTTCACATTCAGGTGCTGTATTTTCATTTTTGTAAAGTATGTTATATGAATACTGGAGACTTCCATGTTGTAAACTGTTTGGGATGTATTGGTGGATTATATGTTTTTTTAACTGTATTTAAATACAAATCTCTCAGACATTCAATAAACTCATGTCTTCAGCTTGGAATCCATTCCTAAACAATTGTCTCTTTTTTTAATGCAAAAAATTACAAACTTAACTGGAAGTTTGAATCCATTTTCAGTTTCTCTTCCAGTTAAGGACTTCTTTTTTAAATGCTTTGCTCTTTTCTGCTTGTGTTTATTACAAACTGATATCTATATTATTGAGAAAACGTGTCATTTAGATCCTATTCTTTTTCTAATCTAGAAGGAAAATTTTTAATTCACAACACTGATCAGAAATGTTCTCTTCAACTATTCTGACCATAACCAAACAATAGATATCCACATTATTTCCCTTACATTCAGGATCCTGCACTCTTTTTTTTGATGTTGGAGGGGTTTTTTGGTTGTGTTGTGGAGTTTTGTTCTTACTAATTTTTTTCCATCTATTCTATTTGGATTTTACAGTTTTGAACAGCAGCTGCACATGAAAACAAGAGAAATTTTTTCAGAGCCAGGTTAGCATTCACAATTACTGCAGTTCTTTAATTTTTTGAATTTTTTTTTCAAAAACAGAACAAAGATGATAGTTTCATATTTCAATTCAGCTGAACAACATTTGGTTTTCATCAAGGCTGAGTATGTACTCATCTTGAAAAAGGCATCTATAAATTTTGTCGAAATTAAGAAAAAACTTGCCCTAAACTTAGGTCTGACTCACATTATTCAGCACAACACAGTAGATGGCAAAACAAACTATCCTTGAAGCTAACGAGAGCCTACTAGAAATAATCTAGTAATGATAGCTACAATAAAGCAATAGAAAGCTAACAGAAATACTTAATTTTCTTCTTAGGAATTATTTCCTTTTAGCTCCTGATACTCTAATTGAAACCCCTAGGAGTTACTGCTGCCTTTGTCAGAAGCACTCACCTTCACTCAATGAGAGATGCTGACAAATAAAGACCACCAATGGAAGGTTAGAAAATATTTTGTAGTCTACTTAGCATACAGAACACATTGCATCTGACAGCTTTAAAAAAAAACTTTCATTACTTCAACTGGACTTTGTGTAAGATCTAATTCTCTTCATGCTCAATACTGAACATCACAGCAGAGCCATCACTACTCAGTGTGACCTTGCCAGCAATAAGCTTGCATAACTTCTCAAAGGTACCACAAAGGCGATTCACTTTGGGAAAAGAAAAGATTGTTGCAAGAGGTATGTAAACCTCATTTCCACTGATAAATGGTTCCATGTGTTTTTCAACAACCAGTTTTCCAAGATAGTCTGAAAAACAGTCCATTGAAGGTTGGAATTTGGATTCTCTCTCAGGATCATCACTGTACTCCTCACGTATTGACATTAAACGGTGCTTAATGATTTGGGCTGTGAAAATAACTTCACTGATCACTGCATTCTGCAAGTACTTTTCATCTTTAAGACTTGGGTACACTGCTTTGAAGACCTTTACAATATACAAGAATACATGAAATGTTTCATCACTAAAACAAGCTCAGATTTTAACATTTGCTGTCCAAAAAAGCTTTTAAAATGTGAATAGTATTTTTTATTCAATCCTGTTTTGCTTATTAAACAGTTTCAGGTAACAAAAACAAGGCAATAGGAGCTGGTTTTCTGTATTACAACTACGCTGGTAGTTAACTGAACTTAAACATCCCAAAACACAGCAGGCTATACCTCCAAGCTACAGTTGTAGATCAGGCAAGGTATAGCCCTGCAATTCTTTATATCTTTTTCATAATTCTCTTACTTCTCACACTGCGGGGTTCTGGGGACAGTTCCAGAGTGATGGAGATTCTAAACTACTTCTGAACTGGCATATGGAAACCAAGACTACAGCATGAAATTTATTGTATTCAGAGTAAAACATTAAATATTCTCTCACAGCTATAGGGAATGCTAAAAATAAATTGTGACATCAAAATCTGTGAACTTGTAGTGTGTTCTACACTGAGCTATACTGCAAGACAATTAAGGAAACTAAGCAGGCAATCTCATTCCCACCAGGTTACTAGGAAGTGCTTTATACCAACAGACTACCAATGAAGTTCTGCTGTTTATAGTTATTTCTTACTTTCCAACTACATCTTCAAATGTTGAATTATTCCTATAAATTAGTAACCTAATAAAAATTAATTTGATAAGAAACATACAACATTAATATTAATCTCAAAGGATACCTATGTCAAAACTCTCTCCAAAATGACCCTGCAATGGCAGCTAATGAAAGCAACTTCTAGTACATCTCCATCACCTAGATGTATTTCCAAGTTTGGTGAGCACTAAAGAGACATTCATGATTCTATTAATGGTAGTAGATGACAGGTGACATTTCACATGCACAGAAATTTCAAATACAGAAATTAAAAATGTTTTTATAGCTTGGAAACCATAAAAGATAAACCCATAACACCACTTTATCTTTCCATTTAGGTCACAAGTCATTTGAAGATACTTAGATATTTTTACACAAAGAAATTAAATATTAGATTATGTTCACTGAAACAAATAATTTAAGGCCTTATAGAATTGAATAAAACCCCAACAGTGTATTTATCTTTGCATTGCTACTTCATTTCAACTCTGAAAAAATTTTGATTTATACCATATGGCATTTAGTAAGAAATGCTTTTTTAAAAATTTTTTATGTATCTGAAAAATCTGTCAACAACTGCATAATAAATAAAATTAATGACTAGAGGAAAAATAGCTGGCAGAAAGGAGAAATTTCATTCCAAGGATGGAAGTATCTTAACATAAGAATGATTACCCATATTGTTATTTATCAAATACCCTAAAAGTTTAAGGCTTTTGTACAGCTGGAAACACAAAGAATGAGGCTGTCTTGTTTTCTGATTACAATCAGAGCTAAGACAGGACAGTAGCAGTATTTCATGGTAACAACCTCACATGCAGTCACAGACAACTTCATCTTTTATTCATACCTCTAAAGGAAGAAAATAATACTTACTGTTTTGTAAACTGTTTCAGTGGGTTTCTCAGACTGAACCGATTCACCAGTTTGAGGACATTTTCTCACAAACACACCTATTTGGGTACAAAACCCAACCTTCTCCATTCCTGTTGGTGGGTGCCCAACGCCAGTAAATTCCACTGAGTAACCATAGCATCGAGCAGCCTCTAGAGCCCTGAGACAAATTATTCCAGTTATATGAAATTATCATCTTTCCATGTGATAAAGATCCATTCTTAAGGAGAAGCAAGACTCAAAGGCTGCTAAGGCTTGAATGTAATTTCTCTAACAATATTCCCATGCCTGAAGATAAGCACTGTCACATCTTGTATGAGAGCTGTAAGATGCCTACCATAGTCTGAATCATTTAATATCATTTAGCCATCCAAACATTACTGTTTCTTCTAAAATATGTGCATAGAATGCTAATGTTAATTCTCACAGTTGCTTATTCACCAACCTGGAAGTCAGGTAAAAAACCGATTTTCAAGAACAAAATTATTTGAAAAGAACCCATAAAAAATATACACACCTCTAAATCACAAGAGACCAGTTAATAGAGGAAGTGTGGTTAGAAAGACTAAAATCTACCTAATCAAGGTTACAACAGTGTACATAACATCTAAATGAAAAGTATCTTGAAGTACCTCAGCCAGTGTGAACAAAGGCATGAGGCAGGGAACCAAAATTGTGCTACCTAGCCGTATCATTCTCCATGAAAAAGAAAACTAAATTAACATCTCGTGTATTTTAGAGATGTAATATTTCTATTTCACAACATAAAGGCTTTTTCATGTTTAAAGCTCAAAAAACTTCCACACTTCTTCAGTGATATCAATATTTTTAATTCACATCTATCTAAAAGCAAAATCTAAATCTACTTGAAGTCACAGAAATTGTCTCTAAGGTATTCTAAGGCAGCTAATTACAGGCAGGTTTTAGTATCATTATGTAAGGAAAAATACATGCTTCCAGCTTTGCAAAACTATCAACTCAAAAATCACTGGACACTTTAAAGTGTATAGCAGAAACAACATAGTTTAAGGGGCAAAACTTCCAGAATACATACACCAAGAGTTAGCTACTGAGATACGGCATTCTTTACTGTACCATGTATTTTATTCCACAAGTGCTGGACAGTTGAATGTTATCACAGCATCTCACTTTCTCATATTTTTATTTTTATTACATTCCTGATATTAAGGGTAAGATAGATCTCATGTAACCCTCTGTCATGTGCATATGATTTGCATTAAATCCTTCATTAATCCATTGAACTATCCTGTGCTCAACATGCCACACTGCTGTGGTTATTTGATACTCTTGCTGAGTGCTTTTATTACACACCATATACAGCAAGCCCATTTCTTGGATTTTATGAAGAATTTCTATAGCAGGGTATTATGCAAAAAATATTAATTTCAACTGTGTTAATTTTAATGGAGATATATAAAAAGTAGTAAAAGTTTTAAATATTTTTTTGCAGAGCAATTACAGTAAAAGCCAATTAAACCACCATCATATAATACGAAATCCACAGAATATGCTAAACTGCTCTCAACAGCAAAGAAACCACCAAACCAGGAGGTGACACTTCACTGACAACAAACCACACAAGTGAACCATTCTGAAAATGCACAGACATTCATTTCTCACACTACTGGGCACTCAGAGCTGCATCATATGCATCCAGCATATGATGTTCTGTACCTTACCAGTTTTGAAACTCTGCTTGGCTCCACTCAAATTTGTGGTCTGGATGCCTGTATGACATCACTCTTGAAAGCAAAGGGTTAAATTCAGAATTTGGAGTGCTGATCACAACTATGCTTGGAGCCATGAAACCAAACACCACTTCAGGAAACTTCTTCAGCTCTGATTCATCCAGGTGTTCTATTCTGAAAAAAGTAAGTTGATGTCTGTGTTTAAAAACACATCACTATAATCTTAACAACCAGTGAAAATAACCCCAAACCCTTATCTGTAACTTGTAATTTTACAGCTACTTCTGCTATATGAGTACTGGCACTGTGGCCATGTGGCAGCACGGGGTTTTGTCTGAGCAAATCTCCTCTTGCATTTTGTACTTTTTCATCAGTATCCTCTTCCCACCACAAGCACTACTTGAACTGCTTAGTACGGTTAATTTAAACATAAGTTTGGACATAAGACATCCATGCTTCTACTTTCTACTTTTCTAATTCCACTCTGCTTCAAAGGTTTGATCAAGCCTGTTTGGAGCATGCACAGAATTCCAAACTGAACTCTAATAGACTTAAAAAACCATTTTGTATTGTCCTAATACTCACAGTTCAATACATGTCACCAAGTCAAAACCAAGCATACAGGGATCTTTATGGGCAACTGAACCATGATGCAAGGTAACAGTTAGGGATCTTTCAGATGGCTGCAAATAATCAACAGGAAGAGGAGACAAAGTATGCCTACAAAAGTATTAAAAATATGATGTTACAGGAAGGACCTTAAGACAAGATAAATAGTACATGTAAATGGGCTAGCTAACACCCTAGCTAGCATAGATACTCCATGAATCTCAAAAAGGTTAACTGCTTTACATGGATATAAAAAAGAATATGCAATACAAACACATTTTGTAACTACCTACAATAGGACAGAAAGAGCAGAAGTTAATCCAGAAACTGTCCTTCGTGTTTACAAGAATTTCCATTATACTCTCAAGTCACTTGGAAAGCCACTTGTAAACTTTGATAATAGTTCAATTCCAGACAAACGGTAAGTCTGGTTTAGACAAGCTTTGCAGGGTTTCAGGGTGGAGTTTTAGGCAAGCATATTACCTATTTTTTCCAAGTAAAATACACAGAGAAGCCAAAGTACATGTGCAAATTTCATTTTGAAATACAGCACTAGAGAAAACACACAATAGATGTTAAATATAAAAGGTTACTTCTCTTCCTTCTTGTGAAAGAGCAAGAGATCCTACGTATTTACTGAAATTGTATTAATCTGCTTTCAAGAAACCTATGTTCATCCATCAGACCAGTGCTTCAAAGATCACAAGAACCTCTCATTTTAAAAAGGTTCTAAACCAGACACCACACACTGAGCTAACCTTCCAATTTCAAAATGAGAAAAAAGAACAAGTCCCCACCACGGTGACTAATAATTCCATGTACATTTCAAAAAGATCAAAACTGGTCCTTCTGAAGACAATAATGTCACGTATAAGCATACACAGATATTCCTAACACCATGCATTAGTGCCCTTACAAACAGTGAATTTTTCCCCTGTGCACACTCTGAGGACCTCTTTGCAGCACTGCAGGAGAGGAGGTAGAGAATAGGCAATAAAGTGAAACCCATGAAGGATGAGGGGTAGAAGGAAAGTGTTTTTAAAATTTGCTTTACTTCTTATTATCCTACTCTGATTTTGATAATAAATTCAACCATTTTCCCCAAGTCAAATCTGGTTTGCCCATGATGGTAACTGATGAGTGATTTCTCCCTGCCCTTTAACTCATGAAGATTTTGGTATATTTTCTCTCTCTGTCCAGCCAAGGAAGGGGAGTGATAGAGCAGCTTTTGGTGAGCTCCTGGCCTCCAGCCAGAGTCAACCCACCACACCACTAGGTCAAGATAAACACAAACCTCAAAACAAAGAGCTTACATTTTCTCTTTCATCACATTTGCACAGATATCTAGCCCAGCTAACACTTCAATGCAACTGCAGAATTTCAGCATCCAGAGAAGGCTGCAATCAGCACATCCTAAATCTGCCACCTGTAAATTGGATATTAAAAAATGTATAAATGTTATATATTTCTAAGTAATTTCAGAGATTTGCATAAAATTAAAATTCCATACTTACCAAAATAACTTTTTAATGATAAAACATTTCAGAATCATAACTAAAATTTATAGCTACAAGCAAGCAGGATAGGTGCAGGAAAGATTTAAAAATTCTTTTTTTAAAAATGTATATGAAGATCCTGCAAGGTGTTTTAAAAAGAACTAACTTTTTGTTACTACAGCTATAAACAAGTACATGTAGGACATCCCACCGGATTCTGGAGAATGTCTCCCACATGAGTAACAATAAGGTATGATTTTAAATATAAAAGCTGCATCAATTTTCACATTCAGCACTGCTTTTCACTGGGCTGTTCTCCCTCCAAACCACGGAGAACAGGCTCACCAGCAGCAAAGTTAGCAGCGAAGAATCTGCATAAAACAAGTTTAAAGGTTCAGTCTAACGTTTAAGCAGGGAACTCTGAGGATATTCAGGCCATGAAGTCAAAGAATAGATATTTTTTCCTGTAAGCTAAGGAGATAGTTGAGTATGTAAACCAACCCCCACTGTTCTTTCTCAGGCTCAGTCAAGGTTGAAGCACATTGCTTTTCTCTATGTAAAAATCTTGAGTTGTTTCTGTCCAGTTTATCTACTGTCTGTATAAACAGTGAGTTCATCCTCCCACCCCTTCCACATCTTAAAGCAGAAAATTCAAACCTTTAAAGACAGATGCAACATTGGTGAATATGTTCTATTTGAATGCAGATTACAGTGCCACGGCATCATAGACTGGATTTTTATTAGCTACTAGAAGGATGATTACATAAGTAATGCAGATGCATCAGTTTCTTGCATGGCCTCTAAGATATTAATATCAGTTTAAGGGTTAAACACTGCAGACTTGAGAAGATCTTTTGGGGAAGGAAGCAAGGAAGACACATCAGAAGCCAGCAAACAATATAGAATGTTACTTAAATAATTTAACTTTTCACAGTGAGTAGTGAAACAAAAATTCTGATATATTGGGGGGACACACATGACAGCACATGTGGAGGGATACAAGACCTTAAGAAAATGGAGATGAGTTAGCTTCACATAATCCCACACCCAGTGTCACTTCTAATCTAAGACTATCCATGCAAATGGTTAGGTAAACCTGATAAACTACACGGAACTAACAGCTCTGGAATGCAAAACCCAACTGTGAGGAAAGCAGCTTGAACCAAATTCCACAGCATTAAATTAAAAACACAATGGCCACTACTTTCAAAAATAGACAAAGGCATTCCTCTTGTTTAAATATTCTCCTCTCCTATCAAGTAACATTAATTTTATGTACCTCTGAGAAAAAACACATCACGTGGTTTCTGCTAAGTCCATTCAGTTTTAACACTTCCTCCACTACTGTTTGGTAATTAGGTCAACAGGTTATTTACACTTTTTGTCTTCCTGAGATACCAAGTGTCAACTTACTTTCAAGTTTATAACCTAAAGAGAGAAAACATACCAACCTTCTTAGGTTTATATTTCTCCACTAAATCTTTAACGAACTGGTGGCGTTGCTTGTACAAAGGAGGTTCAAATTTAATAATTTGTGTAAACTCTTCTTGAAAGGTCTTAGCCATAGTATTCTGGCAAGGCTAAAATAAAAAGTTAACTCTTATTTTCTGAAGCATTTCATAACCTATCCAATTACAAAGTTTCCTGTTTTCAGTGGTTTTTGAGTCCCAATTGAGCAGGGGTAGACCTGATCTGAGTCCTATTCAAATAGTGACAAAAATACTTGGATTAGCACGATTAGGCTGTTCTCTCCACATGTCATTATCTAAAGAACCTTTTGTAAACAACTATAAATCGTATACAAATCTAAAAAAGCAAATTTCATAATCTGTCACTATCCATCCAGCACACCTGGACAGAGACTACAACCAAACATTACAACCAAACGCATCTGGGCCAAGCCTGCACACAACTTGATTGCTCTACGAGGTCTTTTACACACAAATAAAAATACGTATTTGTGTATATATACGCACAAAATCCGGCTCGGTGTTCAGGCCAGTTCCCCGCCGTCTCAGGAGTTAAGCGGGCCTGCTGGGCTCCCCTCAGCAGTGCCCGCGTGAGGGCCACCCGCGGCACCCACCGCCTGACCCCCGCCGGCTCCTGAGCCGCCCCGAGCCTCAACCCCTCCGGCTCCTGAGCCGCCCCGAGCCTGAACCCCGCCGGCTCCTGAGCCGCCCCGAGCCTGAACCCCGCCGGCTCCCCACCCCCGACAGCCACTGCCTCCCGGCCCCCTGCCCCGTGCCGGCGCTCCACACGCCTGCCGCTCCACGTCTCTCCCACGATAAGCTCCCGCCCGGCACAAGCGGCCACCCCCACGGGGGTGCGGCAACCTCCGGGGAGCGCCGGGAGCGCTCAGTGCAGCCCTCAGGGCGGAGGATGTGCTATAAGGCCCTTCTGTGCGAGACGATAAACCAGCGGCAGCGACCGTCCGAGGGCCCACTTGTTGTACTGATCCGTGCCAGCCTCTCTCAGCGTAATTAAAAGGTGATTGGCGGTGGCCAGCGGTGTCCGTACTTTTTTACACTAAACCCCAGAAATTTCGCCACTCCTCAATGCAAGTCCTTTGCGGCTCTGCTGTCTAAAGTCGTGTTTGCTACGCCGCAGAGTGGAAACGCACTCTTGTGCTGGTTGCTGTATGTAGTGAACTAGCCCTGTCTGGGTGAGAGAGGTAGAGAGCACAAACTCGATGTATTTTGCAGGGTTTCATTGGGTCTTTTCCACACTGGGACAAGTTTGTCTCTCAGTGAGCAGGCAGCTGCGTAGCTGCAGGGTGAAAGTAGAAAGGAAAGCATGGCTCTAAATGTTCCATTTCTTCTGTTAACAGCAGTAAAGCGTTTGCTAATCACAGGGCAGGGCTGTTATTAATAAAGATATAGTGTAGACCTGGGACCTAAAAGGAGGCAGGACTCTGGTGGCAGTGAAGACGAAGATTTGTTAGATAGGTTAGACCATAATCCAATGTCCTTTAAGATCTCAAAATATACTGAAAATGCATCTGCCAACTCTTGGCTAACATTTTAAGTTTCATGGCCTAGGCAGAACACACAGTTTCTCCTTTTGGCTGTTGAGCAATTGTTTAACCCTGAACTATAACTTAGTACCTATATCTCAATTACATAATTCTATAAACTCTGCACAAGTGGTGTTTTTTTAACCTCGGAGAGAAAGTTTATTAATAGAAGTATTTCACTTACCAGCTTACAGTTCTATGGATTTTAGCATCCTGTGAAATTTTACTTACAAGTCAGTATAATGGATTCTTTAGAACAAAATAAGTACAGAGAACAGTAGTAAAGTTCACAGTAAAATTTAATTCATAACACATTGTAAATTCCCACAATGTCCTCCTAACAGTTTGTGAGAATTCACCCCAAAATGTTCCACTGTAAGTGAAACCTTGAGAATTATCAGCTGTTCTCCACTATGAACAATATAATAACAGATATATGCTTATTCCATATTAGGTGATGACATTGGATTGGAGAGCCAATCTTTGGAAGACTGGCAACATGAAAGAGAGAATGAGCACCCTTTGTAGTTTTGAGCTGGAAAATCTGCTTTGACTCCAGGGTGTCTGATCTGCTTGCTGAATAAAGTATTGAAAAATCCTTCTAATTTTTCCCCATTAAATCACATAATTTAAGTTTTGTTTTTTTTACTATTTTCTCACTGAAAAAAAAAATCTTTGGTTTAGTCTAGTGGTTAAAATTTTTGTTTTGTCTTGTTTTTCCCTTATGCAGTGGTACATCTACTTAACAGTCTCAAGGCATCGTAGAATAATTTATGTTGGAAAGGACCTTTAGAGGTTACCTTACCCCCTACTTAAAGGAGGTCCAAGTCAATGAGATTACTTGGAAACTTCAGTTCCAAGTTAATTTTCACATTACAGTCTATAATTTCAAACTGAATACTCAAATTGTGTTAGCTCAATATGCCACAAATCAAGCAGGTTTTTTAGAGAAGCCTGTTACTTTTGCACCCTACACAGAGAAACAAATGATATGGCCATACTGGAATAAAAGCATCTCACAATATAAAGTTGTCAATCAAAAAATCCTAAACTGCTGACATTTGTTTCCTTCAGTAACTGGAATGAGAAAGGCAGCTGTATGCAATTCTAGTACTTTTCTCATAGAATTGCAGTGCATATAATTAAATCTGATAGCAAAAGAAACTTAATACAGCACTGCTGCCAGGAGACACTAGTCCATATTAATATTTGACAGGAATATACATACAGCAATACTGCTTAATCTGTAATTCAAGAGCTAACAATCAGTCCTCTCAGCCTAAATTCCGAGGATGTTTAGTGACTGAAGTACTAGTCTTTTTCTTCTCAGCTTCAATTAACACATTTGTCATGTTTTAAAAAATTAAGAATTCATATAGGTGAATGAGAAGCAAAGCTGCTGTTACACACAAATTACATTTGTATGCTTTTAGATATATATATAGTTTCTTGCTGTTTGCAAGTGAAAAACACCTCGTTTTGAGGTTCTTTGGTTTGGTTTTTGGTTTAGTTTTGTTTTTCTATTTGGTTGTACTCTATAAAAGCAGCCAGGATGCCTGAGGGAAGAAAATCTAATTTGGAGCAAATGGATTTATAGGTTGCAACTATATGAGAGGTTTCAGCATCACCACCAAAGAGTGAAAGAAGTATAAAAACATGATCTTATATAGAGTAAAAAATACTGAGGTTTGGAACACATTTGGCTAAATATTCCAACTGGAAAAGGTAAATGCATGGAAACACAATTATGGCAATATAAACTATAACAGAAGTATGGGCTGTCTTGAAGTGGTTACACAATAAAAATTAAGGAAGTGCTCCAAACAACAATAACAAAACTACTCATGTTCAAAGAAAAGTTACTGCACTAGCTAACTGCCTCCAGAAAAAGTTCACTACTATAAAGTCACTACTGGAATTAGTTTTTGTTATTAGTTCTCTGATCTGAGATTGTTAAATGGGTATTTACTGCATCAATATGGTAGAGCCATGCAAGTAATGAAGATTTTGTGAATGTCTTTGGAAATCAGCCAAGATGGGAAGAGGAGTCCAGAAGGAGACTGGTGGTTATTTCTAGAAAAGAGGAGTGAAAAGCCTCGATAGCAGAACAGGCAGCTTGGAGAAACCATTAACTGCCAGGGCCCTGATAACACTTTCCTGATGCACTACAAGCTCTAATGTACTTGAAGGGCCAGGGTAATGAAAATAAACTGTTTCTCAGTGTTTCAATGTGTAATGAAGAGTGAAGGTATTTTCCTGTTATTTCTAACAGTATTTATCTCCTCTTTTCTAAATTGAAAATCTGGGTTAGTTTTAGCATGTAGAGATGCTATTCCCATGGATGATTTCATACCAGCTTCTCCCTGTACCTCTTTCCTGATGCACTGAGCGATGGGGAGCCCTTGTGTACAACTGAAGGTACTTGGGCACTTTAGACATTATGCCCAGATTGCAGACATTTCACTGAACTACTAGTTTGTTTTTTCACAGTCATTTGATGTTTGGAATATTTCGGCAAGTCTTCTAAATCACACTTTCAGTCTCCTTTTTGTACTTTAGATTTGAAGACTGACACCAGAATATGTTACTAGTTATATTGGGTTTGGGTATTTTGTTTTTTTTTTCTTTTGCAGGCAAAACCAGAGGATTTTCTTTTTTCTGTTTTCTGTTAGTAATTGTATGTTGACAGTGATTCTGTCTTAGCTGTTTAACCCAATTCTTCTTGTTCCAAGTCTGTATGTAGGACTACTTAGTTTTAAAAAGAGCTGTTGAGCTGAAACTGAGCAGCAGGGAGCAGTTACTGTTTTCTGGGTGTCTGACGGGGTCCTTAGAAGCTGCTCTGGCCAGAGCAGTGGGCTTCGTACCCAGCATTAGCATGAAGTGAACAGGCTGGGCCGTGCCCGGGCCGTCATTGCCCTCCGGGGCTCCAGCACACCGAACGTGCCTAACATTTCTTCCTTCCCCAGCAGGGGAGCAGTGGATGCCCCATCCCTTCAAGCCTAGGTTAGACAGGGCTGGAAGCAGCCTGGTCTAATGGAAGGCATCTCTGCCCATGGCAGGGGGTTGAAACTAGATAAAGTTTTCAAGGTTCCTTTCCAACCCAAGTCATTGTACGAATTCTTTGCTTCTCTCTTGCTGTGGAGGCAGAAGCGGCCAGTGCCAGCTGTGCCCTGGCCCCATTACCAAGGACAAGGGACCGAGTTGACCAGTTTTCAACTTTTTTTAATCGGTGGCTTAATCTCCATGTGACGGTATCAGCAGATACCACCCTTCGGGCCACAGAGCCCCCTTCGCTCTCTCTAGCGGTGATGTCCCGCCTGCCGGGCCCCCGGGCTGCCGCGAAGCGAGGCCAGTCGAGGGCGGGAAGAGCCGCGGAAAAAGACTGGGGCGTTAGCGAGTGGGGCCGCGCCAAGGCTCCGGAGCTGCCCCTCCCTTTCCCCGCGGGTCCGTGACGCGGCCCCGGAAGGCGCCGCCGTCACTTCCCCAGCCGCCATCTTGTCGGGGCTGAGGCAGCGCCCGCCGGCCCCGCTCCGTGTGCGCGGCCTGCCTGCC